AGGGTGGTACTTACCATGATGCTGGGCAGCATGACGCCAGTGGGCACGGGGACGCCGTACACCAGCACAAGACCGACAAATTTGAAGATCAGAGCGATGATGAGCAGGATCACGCCACGACTCATTCGCGGTCCGGCAGGGAAACTGCCCTGCAGGCTGATGTCACTCATGACAGTGAGGTTGGCGAAGCCTCCCGGTGGCGTGCGAATGTAGTCACTGAAGTGGAACAGCGGTCGGACTGTTAGCAGTAGTCAGGTTGTGAGGACAAAAAGGAATTTAAAAAGGCATGACATTTGTAGCTCAACTGGTAGAGCATTGGCTTCGCGAAAAGGCCTTCCCTACCATGCAGGTTCAAATTCCGCCGAATGCCGTGAGTTTTTTTACAATTGGGTCAACTAAATTAAGCAACTCTGCCAAACCTAAACAAAGGGCTAACTACTGAACATTTCATTCACCAATCAACAGTTTATCTTCGCTTCAGACTACTAAGACCTGCGCTACTATCTGGGTAAAACGGGTGAAACGAGGTAGATGTCACAACCAGCAGTACATTCGACAACCGTGCCATAGCTTTTGGACTAGCTTCTGTCTGATCATCTGTAAAAAGCGTATTCTGAACAAAATTGCTGCTTACATAGCATGCATTTTCCCCATTCATTTGCAATACCCTTAGAAATTCAAATATATATTTTAGAAAACTCGCACGAAAAATATTATTTCTTATACTCTTTGGGTAAGAAGTTACGCTTTCCCTAAAGCTGATAATTGCATAAGGTTTAACTTTCTGTATTAAAAAGTTGTCTAAATTACTGGATAGTTTTGAACCGTACCGGTCGTTATGTTTGCATGCAAGGTTTCCAAATTACACGCTGTATACATTCTGTGTAGGGGGAAGCACACATAATTTTGTACGTTATGAGGAAGAGATGGTGTGGTTCACATAAGATTTTGCAATGTATGTTAATCACTTTGTAGGCAACACTCATAAATTGGCAAGTACGGTGTGTTATGAATGAACATTTTACAGTCTTTGAAAAATGCATAGTAAGAAAATGTTTTAGAACCGAAAGATATAATTTCTCCATGTGTAATATTTGGGAAGGCGTAATTTTCCACCAAACTAGTCAAAGAAAGAAAAATGTTGTGAATGATTTTCTATAAAACATATTTAAATTTATGGGAGTATTGAGAACAAATGAGAAAAATGCATACGTCTGCCAGACTAATTACCGTAATAGTAGCGAAAATTCGATTCCCCGGGTGGTAAGTCAGAAGGAGAAAGGGCGTTCACTGGAAGAGGTTTATTTCTTATCTGACGTTTCGGACAGTTGTGTCATGTATCCATCTTCAGAGAGTTCTCGTTATATGGCAGACAGTCTCAACGCCGAGCAGAGCGCGGGGGACGGTTATCAGGCGGCTAGTGCGGCGAACGGTTAACACTTAGAGGTACGCAGAGCGGCTTAAACTGCATTGGCAGACTACGCCAGCGGAAGAAAGGAGCGGTATATAGCGAGAGCTAGGAGCCAGAGTACTCACTCTCTGAAGATGGACAGACGAGACAACTATCCAAAACGTCAGATGAAAAATAAACCTCTCCCGATGAACGCCCTTTCTCCTTCAGACATACTAATTAACTAGCCATTTTTTTTAAGTGTCTTCTCAAGCGATCAGACAGAAGCTCGCTCAAAAGCCAGCATCCTGACGTTATTGCCATATCTTCAGATTAGGTTGCGGGTTAATCGATGTCACAATCCTACTTGAGTAACTTGTTCTAATCGAAAATGCATTTCAGTTGAAATTCGACGAGATATGGAATCTACCTTACAAGGTGTCAAAAATATGGCTCGATTTGAAAAAGCCGCGCAAGAATAATGAC